TAAAAATTGTATTTAAAATAAAGGAGATATAATCTAATCAGGAAGTGATCTCTTGATCACTTGACATGATCACATGAATTGACACTCATGCTTTCAAATTAAGTATCTAAGGAAGCATTTCAGGAATATGATATAAAATAATGCAGAAAAATCTGGAAAGATTGGGTAGAGAACTCATGTTCTTCTGTATTTTCACAGGCAGTAAAGGGAAGAGTCATGGTATCCCTCTCAGGAAAAGACATTTTTGACACACCTCAGGAAAGGTGTGAAGAGGGGCTTAGAGGGTTTATGATTTAGGATTGGAACTTCTGGTCACTTCGCCATCCAGGAACACGTGGGGAGGCGCCTCTCGGAAACCAGGGCACCCCCTCTCTGTCACCACAACATCAGGACAAGGGACTTCCTTGGTGTAAAAAGGGCTGTGAACATTTTATCTAGATCTCTCACTTCTCTGCCTCAAACACAGGGCTGGTTTGTTAAACAGACTATCAAGGTGGGATTTTGAGATTTTCTGGGGGTTTTGGTGAAGTTCGTTAAACCACAAAGCTGTTGATTGTTCTTTGGGCAGAACCAGGAGGGAGCTCTGGCTTCAGAACAATGCATAGGGTATGCAATGGTGTCGGGAAAGTAGTGTGTAGTTGTCACCCAGGGCACCTCAGGGTGTTTAGTTGTCAACATCTCTATCCTTTGTATGGAATATGTGTGTGTGTGTGTATACACTGAATAGACCCAGCAAAACCTACAGATCATTAAAAAGAACAAAGTTAGTGAGGGACTAAGTAATAACTCACTGTCATGAACATGCCTATCCATCCATACGTCACTGTGGATAGAAGGATCATATTATGGGAGGCTGAGAAGTTTTAATTAGGTCGTTCTAGAAGCGTGGCCACATTTAGAAGGTTGCTTCTTACAGGTCATTTTCCAGTTCTTCAAGAATTTCCTTCCACTCTCTGGCGTGTCATCCTTCAGCCTTTACTGGACTCAATCCAGTATTGGGGAGCCCAGTACTAATGAAGCAGCCCCGTGTTTTTGCTGGGCAACTTGGGTTGCGATAGTGGTCTTTCTAAGGATGAGCCTCACTCGAATGCTGTGAAATGTCCAGGCATTGCCTTGAGCTCGCCTTCTTGAGTGATCTATAGGAGAAAAATCACAGCCCTCCTCCTCTCTCTGCTCTGTCCTGGTTACTGCCTGTTGCCCGTCTGCAGATCTCTCTTAGTCTCTGTCTAACCCTTCCCCCTTCCCTGTGTTGGAGGAGGTCATCGACAGGACACGACCGGCACTTGACCCTCCAGCTGGACCTGGGTCATCAGAGGCTCCTCACCCCCTCCCCTTGTCCTTGGAATGTACGCTCTGCCCACCGTTCCCACAGTGGGAGCCGTGTTCAAGGACGCAGCCTTGAGAGAGCAATGTGTTGTTGACGCCATCTGGACACTTTACATGATGGAACCCGTTAAGGCCTCTATATCAACTTTTAAGATTCTGGCGGGCAGCTGCAGAGATCTACTTGTCTTGTGGCAGCCCAAGACAAGCTTCCTATGTAAGTTCTCTTGCTTATGAAACCTGCCACCACCCAGTCTGGAGTGGCTGCCCCTTTCTTGGATCTCTCCTTGCCCTCTGTGTATGGGAGCCCATTTCAGATTTCACCCGGGAAGCTCCCAAGGTTTTGAACCAACACCCTGTCATCTTATTTTCCTTTGCTCTATCTTTCTATTCCCCTCTTCTTCCTCCTGATTCTTCCTTTTACTCCTTTGTAGACCCCATTTCCTTCTCATTTTGTTTTCTGGAAGGTTCTACAAGGTGTAAAGTTTTTGGCCAAACAAGACACATGCCTGTTTTAAGTTCTTGATCTGAGCCATTGTCTAGTACCTCTTGAGGGTCTCAAAATTTGACATTGATAAAGCAGAGCAATATGATATGACCCATCAGTTTTAAGTCCAACGGCTTCATAATTGGGTTGACGCATAGAGAAAGTTGAACCTTGGCTCAATATCCCATGGAAGGGAATGTGGCCGAGAAGCTATTTCGATGTCTTAGAGCTGGTAGTGCTCATGCCAGCAGCCCTGTTTCCTAGGCCTGCCCTGAGCACCAACTTTGTGACATGAGCAGGTCTCTTGTCCTGGGAAAAATGCTCTGCTCCAACCCCCGTAAATCCTACAACATTAATTCCTGGAAAACAACAGCCCTCGCATTAAAACCCTGTTATAACGTGTGTCCTGCTGTGGACTGGAAGAATACTGTGTTGCTGGTGCCCTCTGGTGGCCAGTTTTCAGTATTGCAAAAGGGAAAGAAAAGCCCTCTGAAGCTCCCTGTAACATTACTAAGGCCATAAAAATCACTGGCTGTAGGCCTGAAGGTTGAGGGTTGATGGTCTTTGTGATGTGAGTTTTAGCTGGTGAAAATTCATGACATCTTCATCCAGCAAACTGCTCTCTATTCCCCACACAGGTAGATGGCTGTTCTTTGTTTTCAGAGCAGGGACAGCTTCATTTGCACATTGCATTCATACGAATGCATTGCGTAAGTCATTTTCCTATTTGAAAGGAATAGTTTAGACAAAAGATTTAAAGATCTCCCACCAGTGTGAAAATTCGGCTATGTAATAGGTGTTTCGTAAATTATCGAACTGCTACCCAAATGTTCAAATGTCTGGACCTCTGATTTCAGTCCTATTTTCCTTTTACTGATTTTTAAAAAATCAGATCACTACAATATATTCAATACAAAAGTCCAGGCAGCAATGACCTAGTGCGATGCCTTCATCCACGCCGGGTTTTCCCATGTTGGTCACCATGAAATCTAAGGGGCATTTTCTGAGTCAAAGTTAATATGGGGAAAATAAAACCATCAATCCACCATAGAGTCCTTATTCAAATAATGCACCTTTAAAACCCAGTCTCTCTTTCATTTCTGCTGTCTCACAAACAGAAAGTAGGAACTGATCTCGGAAAACACCCTTAACAACCACTCTTTGCTCCCATGGGGGGAAGGTGAGGGGACAAAATCTATCTCAAAAAGAGAGAAAAGCAAAAGATGTGCAAAAGGTGCAACAGATTCTGAAGAAACTGGGAAGAAAGGGCATTATAAAACCAGCGGAAATGCCATAAAGTCCTTCCCTTTCCCAGAGGGAAAACGCAAAAATAAAACCCAAACAAGGAATAACTAAAACCACACACAGCAATAATAATAGGTCCTGTTTACGGTAAATTCCTAGGTTACCCCCCACACACACATGTCCCCACACGTGCCCACATGTCCCCACAGGCACAGGCATAGGTTAATCCTCACCGTCACTGCCGGGTGATGTCCCAACAGTGTTCTAACCCAGGTGGTTTGCACCTGGAGTCCACGACTCTTACCACCGTCCAGGGCTCCCAGCACTTCACAGCACGCACAAAGGAAAAGGATGGTTTTGTTGGGCACAGCAGGATAAATGGGAGGGACCACTGAGAGGCTGGCCCCATCCCAGCAGAGCTGCCCCGAGGCTGAGAGGATGAACACTTCAGAGTGCCCCATTCAGAGCACACCAGTTGGGAAGCTCTACGCTGCTCCTCATACACAACACAGAGTTCTAGAAACACCCACGTGTCCCTCGGTTATAAAAAGGAGAACGTGTTTCTCTCTTAGTCTAATACAAAAGTATCCTTTCTTTTTAAAGAAGAAATATGTAATCATAAAAATTGTACAATCATAAAAATTTTATTTTGAGAAGAAATTAAAAGCTGCAGAGGGCATCATTCATCATTCTCTGTTTCATCAATGTTCCAGATCAGGAGCATTCAGCATTTTTATTATTGGTAATAATGCCACAGCAAACATTCTTGTGCCTAAATCTGTGTGTACAACTTTCATTTTCATGTCTTTGCAAGTCATTTATTCGAATGGGTTGGATGTTTTCTGTCACACGATCTGAGCATTTCAAGACTCTCATTGCAGAATTGCCAGCTCACTCTTGAGAAAGACTTCTCTGTTGCACTCACCCACCCATAGCGGATAAGTGGTCCACTTCCGTTTCTCACCTACTCTGGGTATAGATTATCTTGGTTAATTTGATAGAGAAAAAGTATTATCTTGTTTTTGTTTTAATCTGTACTAAGAAATTTGGACCCTTAGATATGTCTGGAGGTGAGATATTTGCTTCTCCTTTGTCCAGAGCCTATTCCGTCCTTCGCTGTTGCTCATTCTTCTTGTTCTTGGATATGTTCACATATATTTTTCTAATTTGTCATTTGCCTTTTAATTTTGTTTTTAAAGTTTTTGTTGCAAAAATCTTTTCAAGTGTTACAATCCTGTTCTGGATGGTTTCTTCCTTTGTTTTTGTACCTCGAAAGGCCTTTTCTCTCTTGAGAGAGGTACACATTGACCTATATTGCTTCCCTTTTCTGTCTGGTTTTACATTTTTCATTTCTCTCTTTGACTGTCTCACTTTTATTTTGATTACTGACCTGGAGTAGGAACTTAGTTTTACTTTTTGAAAAACATGGCTATTTAATTAGCTAGGACTAAATACTATATTCCTTTTCCTAATGATTAGATTGCCACTTTTTAAATTCTGTATTGAAATGCAATACCTATTTGGGTCTGCTTCCTGGATTTCTGCTGTGTTCTTTTATTCAAGTGCCAGCACCACACTGTATGTTTTACTGTATGGAAAGGTCACAATCGGTACTTTTTATTTTGCAAAAATTGGGGTTTGCTTCACATTGGAGTACCTTCTCTGAACTCCAGATGGCATGAGATTATTGGTATGCTTGTATGGGAGCCACAGGAGCAGATTTGGCCAGTGTATCAGAAAGACTAGCACTCAAGAGCGAACTTGAAACTTTCAAAGATGCGAACACTCATCCTGGAACACGGGTAGCCATTGGTTTTCCTGCACTTGTTGGGTTTCACCGAGGTCCCGTGGCAAGCAAGTGGAGCTGAGTTTTGAAAGCTGTTTCTGTTGATTCCTTTCCCACTTTGATACAGTTATCTTCAGTCCCCCATGTTTGTCCTAATAGCCTTTAATGTATTTCCACAAGTGAGCTCTTTTCTCTGGAGATTTTTGTGGTAGGTTTTGTTTTGATACTCTATGCATCTTCATGGATTGATTAGAAGGTCTTGATGCTCTCCTGCTTTATAGAGTCAGTCACCTGTTCTTTCAGTGGGATTGTACCCAATTCCTATGAAGTACCCTGGAGCAGAATTCGCATGTTTCCTATCTCTGCTGCAGGTAACAGATTGCCTTACACTCAACTGAAGATCATTGACTTGAATTTAATTAAGCATGTCTTCCATTTGGTTGAATGGGACATCTCTATAGCAGGTGGTTTTATCATGTGTTCATTTCTATACCAATATAATACGTGCAGCATTGTATGCTGTGTTTCCAGTAGTTCTTTGTGCTTACTTTGTTTCATTGTCTGTGATGTCAATGTGATGTGTTCTGCTTGAGGGTCTGTGCATGTTTTACCCAGAGAGTGAGATAAACAGAGGGTGTATCTGTGTATTTCTATATGTCTGTGATTTCCTCGTGGCTTTATTTTGATTTCAGCTGTAGCACTGGGCATTTGGTTCTATCATGCCATCACACCTCAAATATTCTCGTGCTGAATTTGAGGCAGGGAGCATGGCATGTAATGGTGAAGGGTATTAGTCCAGAGGCTATCACCATGTATCAAATTACATCCAATCTTAGTAACCCAAAACAACTATATGTTCTTAAATTCTGGGGGTGTGAATTTAGACAAGGCACAAGTGGCCTGTCTTGCAACACATTGCCTGAGGCCTCAGCTGGGAAGACTTAGAGGCTGGGCTATTGGGACTGATCACTTGAAGACTTGAAGGCCTGTTTACCTCCATGTTGGGTGCCTGGGATGGGATGACTGGAAGGCAAGGACTGTTCCCCAAAGGAAGCCATTCATGCAGCGTTGGCTTCCTCACAGCATGGTGGCCTCAGAGTTGTCACACTTCTTATGTGGCAGCTCAGGGCTCCAGGAATGAAGGTCCAGGGCACAAGGCAGGAGCTGTGTCACCTTTTATGGCACAGCCTTGGAAAGAACACTGCATCACTCCCACCATACTGCATTGATGGGAGCGGTTGCCCCGATTCAAGGGGATGGGATGGGTACCCTGCTTATGGACGAAAGGAGTATCAAAAGTTGGGGAGTTATGTTTTAAAATTGCTCTAGTTCTGAAGGCTTTACAGTGAAATGGATCTGTATCTGAGGCTTGGCTCTGGGAATGCACTAACTTTCCTCATCCTTAAAACAGCAATATAAATAGTGCTTATCCCTTATAGTTTTTGGAGGATTAAATGAGATCACACCCATTGTTAGTGTTATTACTAAACTTCAGTCCTTTTCTCTCTTTTCCATAAAGGCTGGTGTCCGTTTCATTAGACTTAGATTTATGCTTAAACAATATCTTGGGCTTGGAACATTTTTCGTATTTTTTTAATGGAAGGGAGAATGTTAAAGTATTAATAATGCGTGTACTTTGCAACGTGGGTTTCTGGAACACCGAGAGCCGACATATGTATAGATCTGGTAGTTTTCACCATTTACAGAGACTCTGGCTAGTGTCTCTGTGCATTGGCTCTCTGGTTTCCTCTTGTCTTATTTCTTTTCCTCCTATCTCCTTCTAGTCTCCTTGTACTGCTGCATCCCAGCCATTGCCTTTCCTCTCCTTCTTCTTGTCATGTTGTTATGTCCTCTTCTGACTTAACCTGGATCTTTCCTTTCTGGTGGTACAGGGACAGCCATACATGATGTCTCTAAGCAGAAGTTCACACCCCTGTGTGCTTCTAATCACCTGATCAAGAATAGGGGTGCACACCTCTTCTCTTAATGACCACTTCACCAAAAGCCAATGTGTTCAATAATCTATTCACCAAATGGCTTACTTATTGAATTTATCAATATATCGACAATGTTTTTCTTTCATCTGTTTATAAATTTATAGCTATTTATTTTTAGAAAGTTATTGGATGAGACCACTTAAAAACAACTTTGGAGGTCTCTGGGTCATATTAGTTAACTGGTTATGAAGACAAAACAAAAACAGAATTTTAAATAATATTTAATTTGTCTCAGGCCAAAGAGAAGGTAGAAGAGACTGGACATGTCATAGCCTAGGCTGCAAAGCCTGGAAAGGGGATGGGTAAGGACAGAAAAACAGAGGATATTAGGAGGAAGACGGGTGGGGAGAGGCCTGAGAGTAGGGGACGATAGGGGAGTCTGGGGGTGGGGTGGGTGGGGCTGAAGGAAGTTTAAGGAGGCCCCAGGAGGACCTCCCTCCTCACAGCTCCCTATGTCCCATTATTTATTCCATATGAAGTTTATAAATAGTTCAAATAGTTCAAATTAACAAGTTTGGGTAAAATTGCTAACTTTACATCATTGATCCCACTGTAGATTAAATTGGCCATTGGAAATTCTTTCAGAATTTGGATTTTGGTAAATTGCTTGGAGCTATTACATCTCAGAGTCTACTTGTGGGCAGGCCTTGCCCAAGGGGCCATTAGGGTGTTATATGCGGTTGGGCTCCCTTAGAGGAGGGAAGTCAATCATACTCAGGGGAAAAGTTCTGGAATAGTTCAACCAGGATGTGCTAAATGGCAAAACACAGACAGACAGCAAGGCTGGTAGAATGTTAAGGAGGAAACTGTTCTTTTATGGTTGGTAGTAAAAGAACAGCTCCAAGAAGCATGCAGCTGCCATATGCAGTTGGATGGGCCAGGGTGAACCTGGGAATGTGCATGTTCCCTTCATTTCATTTTAGTGGATAAAACCTGGCTTGGAATTCTGCTAGGCTTGAACCTACTGCTATCTTAAGTGATATAAATTTTGCTCAGCAAAGGAAAAGTAGTTTATTCTTTCCCATGTGACTGTGGAAAAATGCCCTCTGAATTTCCATAATGCCCATTGTGGTTTCTGAAGCAGTCAGTTAGGAATGCAGCACTGGGGCACAACTTGATCTGAAAATCTCAGTTTAACTGCTAGAGGGCAGCAGCAGCTGTGCAAAAATCTTCCGTAGCATTTTTTCTGAAAATCAGATCTGGCTCTTTTATTTTAGCCAGCCTCAAAGAAAGTCTGAACTGGTGGACCCCATAAAAAACAGATCAGGTTTAGTTCTTTTTCGGGCAAAAAGAAGAGATTCCAAATATGTGTGTATATTGAGAAGGTTCTAAATGTATGTATATAAAGAGAATGAATAGTCACTTATTACTCTTAAGCCAGAAGATAAGAATAAAGTCAAATTTATACCTTTCATATGTTTCCAAATACTGTTTATGCAGGATGCATTCATCTATATGCAGATCAATTTCCCTACAGACTCGGTAAATAATTGTTGACTTGAATCTGAACTATTAAGATCTGCCAACAAAAATTATCAGATATTACAAAATGTAAACTTGTAAAAATATGGAGATAGTTTCCTTTCATGAACAAACAACTACTCTGAGAAATGCATTTAATTAGGAAACTTTTCTAGCTTAAGATGACTTTTCTTTTGGAGAGACTGTATGGTTAAAGTTTTTAACTTAGCAAATGAGTTTTGCTGATAGTAAATAAGTGGGTTTTGCCTGCAAATACTGCTTTTGCTTTCAGTGCAGTGGATTTTTAGTTCAAATTAGGAGTGATGTTTTTTAAACTATATTATGTAGTAAGTTTTCATATATATGCACAAATATACGCATTGATAACCATTAAACTGATTAGTAAAAGTATATTTATAGGTATGGAAGGAGGCTGGTGTGTTATTGACTGAAGACAGCAGGTAAAAAATACAATATGAATGCTGATTCCTTCTTGTGAAAAGTGTGTGTGTTTGTGTGTAAGGTCTAAGTACACATCAACATATTAAGCTTTTCTAGATGGTGGTAATTTTCTTTCTTTTTCTTCTTTTTTTTTTAAGTGCATCTTGACTTTCTACTTTTTCTACTATGGCTATGAGTTGTTATATTAGAAAAAGCAAAGAGAAGTTGTTTGTAATTAAAGCTTCATTCCGGACTTCTTTTATTTGCGTATTAGAGTGGTTCTTGAGCCAGGCAACATGATATTGTCTATTCTATTGACTACTTCTGTTGCTACTGGCCATTTTTTCCATAATACTCTCAATGTGGTAGCAGCCCTTCAAGATGATAAGTAAAATGCCAAGAAGAGAACAAATTCTTCAAATAATATGGTTCTTGATGACTCTCCTGATGATAGATTTAAGTTGTCGTATGTCCTTCTCACTGAGCTGCCTGTTATTTGCATCAGACTATATCTGTGAAGTGCTTTGAAATCCTCTGTGAATAACCCTAGGACTGTAGGTAGGGTGGTAGTCAGTACTCATGAATACTTAGTGGTTATACTAACTATACTTAGTTTTTATACGTCCCTTTCCTTCCAGGACAGCTCAGATTGTTTCATGAAAAATTTCTCAAACCACATGGATCCTGGTGGGAAGTGTATGAGATAAGGAGTTTTCGATTCAATTTATGAAGAGAGAAGGTGATATAAATTTCACACCTTTAGAGATGGCAATAGAAGGGACCTTACAGAGATAAATTATCAGTATGTGTTATCTTGGACAGCTAAAATTAAGTAAATGAATATTTAGTGCTACATATATTGTTATACACTCTCCCCCTTTTAACTTAATTAAGTAGTAATACTAAAAATAGTAGCACTAACTTTGGGACTCACTCAGTAAATGGCTGGAGTCTGCTATCACTGAAGTATATTGGTTCATTCAGTTCTCAACATAATCCTATGAGGTTGGTATTTTTCGATCTTACAAGTGAAGACAGTAAGGCATAAGGAAATGAGTAAGTTACCCAAGGTGACAGAGTTACTAAAAGGAAGGCCTGGGATTTAAATCCAATATGCACATCTTACTTTAAAGTTTATTCATTCATTTATCACATATTTATAATACCTCTACCATGCGTATTAGGCAATCCTGGGAATAAATATTACCTTCCAGAGCTTTGATTTGGAGGAGTTTAATATTATATTCATAGGTGGTCCAAATAAAATGTTTTCTATACTT